TGAAACAAGAAATTAGGAGCATTGAGAGGATTACTGGTTTTTATCCAGTGCGAGCAAAGTTGGTAACATTACTGGTAGTTCTATTTCATTGTCAACAAGTCCGTCAGCAGATCAACTTTACCTGATAGGGAAGGGTTTAAAAGGAATCGAGGCTGATTTAAAAATTGAAAGTGTGGCTGATTTGGGATTTGCATATTGTCAGATTGCAGTACCTACTTAAATTGGCATCAGTTCTCTAGTGATCACTCCAGTGTTTGAACTGTCGTCTTTTTCTGAGATCTTTACTACTTTTAGATAGGAGTCTGCACTAATCTTCTCTTGCTTAACTTTTTTTTGGTATGTCTAAAAGGTTGACAAACTTGCACATCAGATGCCAGGAACAGCTGTTCAAATGAATGCTGTCATCAAATAATTTTCTATGTGAACACTTAACAACACTGAGCATTATTATGACATTGAGGCCCTAGTTGATCCAATTCACCTTACTGCTTCATTTGCTTTCATTGCAAGTGTTAATGAAAGAGTGACCCAAAAATAGACCTGGTATGAGAATAGAGAATTTTCATAAACTAGAAATCCAGATTTGGTTTCCGAGATCTGAACATTGTCTTCTTTGAGCAGTTTGTCATGTCATTCGCATGTTCAAAAATGCCTAACGACAGTCTCGTGATCCCAGCATTAAGAGCGTATGGTTTGAGTTTTAAATAATGTCTGTTTGTGGATTCCTAACTCTTAGTCCACTTTGTCAGGTGAAATGTCCTACTCTATTAAAGAATATATTAATGAATTATTGGTTCTAATGTTAAGCTTCTGTATATCTGTTACTTTTGTTTTTGATTGATTGGGTAATTTTAACTCCTGCCCTTTAGTCCTGTGTTTGCAGTTTAAGGTAAATAATGGGATTAAGTTCACCGCCTATTTTAAAGACCTGGATCAGATCCCATCCCAGTACCCTAACTCCACTCCATTATTTTCTCCAACAAAGTAAAATTTACCAACATTATAATTATAATCGTATTGAGTAATGGGATCATCCTTGCTGCACTTTCGAGAATTCAGAGTTTTTATGACACAGAAGGAGACTCTTTCACTCATCTCTGCATAATCATCGCTGAAGATAATGTGAACAAAGCTCTAAATTAAGCTACAGTCTGTCCTTGTGAATGAACTGGAAAAGATTTAATAGAAACTTAGTTCGGTTTCTAATCAAGTGCCCTTAAAATGTGTCAAGATTTGAGTAGCTTCACTGATAGTGATTATGTATTGAACTTAATGTATTGAATGATTAATAATCACAGGGATCATTTGATACTATATCCTAATGGACTAAAGTATACAAATATTCCATAATTGCTATATTAGACTACTTAACTTACATTTTGGTGCATTAAATTCCATCTGTCTTTCCATATCTGTTTAAAAGAGAATGAAACTTGGCATAAACTTTTAATGCATGTTTTCAATTTGCATGTTTTTATATACTTAAAATAGCTATATTAGTGACAAATATAAATATAATTTCATTCCTTTTTTCTCATCAGAACTGGAATGCAAGTCAAATTTAGAAATAGAACACCAATTTATGTAGTGTGAGAAAAGGATTCTGATTTTGGACCATGGTTGGCATGGAGATGCAGCAGGAACAGTTAAATGTGGCTTAGACTAGGCAGGTAGATGCTGATTGGCCAGGGTGTTGTTTCTGATACTGTTACTATGTGGTAAACTCAAGTGGTTTTCTCCACTAACAGGATGCCAAGGTCAAACCAAAAAAATGTTTTGTCTACCACATCAGTGAGTGGTACACTGAGAGATTCCAGTCAAGTAGTCTGTCAGATGATTAAAAAACCCATTTCTAGCAGATGACTCTGCTGACCCCAGCCCCTAGTTGAAACCCTCAGAATACCATATCCAATATTCGATGTGATTCAACTATTGGATGTGATTTACTAAATACTCCCAACTGCGCTAAGAATTGAACCAGAAACTGATTAAAGATTTTCATTTGGAATCACTATATGATGTATTTGTGTATGCTAGAAGCTACATATATTCACAAAGAAGATACTGTTGTTTGTAGGCTAAAGGAATTTGCCTACATATTTTCATTGAGGAAAAGCAGATGAAGACTGTCCCTTCCTGCCGCATTCATGATGGGAATGATCTGACTAATTGGAGTTTTCCCGCTTAGTCTCAGTATAATCGGCTTTAGATTGACAACCAACACTTTCTGCTCATCTCCATAATAATCCTGGCCCAACTAATCACACTTTTTGCGAGCTGCGTAGATTAGTATTCCCTTTCTAAGTTTGGTTTCTGGCATCTCAGTCCTGATGAATGAAAGATGAAAAGAACATTTGACTTTGTGTCTCATTTTTGTATTGTTTAAGTTCTGCACAATTAAGCAATTATTTAAGATCAGTCTTCTAAACAGGATGTTGTCACTGTGTTGAGGGCGAGGTGGAAAGATGTTTTATTAGTTACTTCAGGCGCTTGAACATTTTTTTTAATATTAAAACTTTGGGGAACTCAGATGTTTATCGATGAATATCCAGTGATAATCCAACTGAAATGCATTCGTTAACTGTATCTTACTAATTTGGGTTGAATTCATGCAAATAAATATTGGAAACGCTGACTGACCTCCCCTCCCCAAAACAAAACCACCACCATCACCTCACCCCAGGAAACGTTTTCACACTAGAAACCTAGAATGATGTAGCTCTGAAGGACGCCATTTGGTCTCTTGCGCTTATAGAGGCTCTTTGATACGGCTACTGAATTATTCCCGTATCCCTGCCAATGTCCTATTATTGTCCAATTCTTTTGGAACATCCCTGTAATCCTACATTTCCCATGGCTAATCCACCTAACCTACACATCTCTGGACACTATGAGCAATTTAGTATGATCAATCCACCTAGCCTGCACATCTTTGGACTATGGGAGGAAACCAGAGCACCCAGAGGAAACTCACGCGGACATGGGGAAAACTGCACAGACAGTCGCCCGAGGCTGGAATTGAACCCGGGTCCCTAGCGTTGTGCTAACCACTGAGCTATTGTACAATTCTTCTAAACTCCAACGAAGACATGCTCAACCTTCTCAACCTCACATTAGAAAATGTCAGAAGTCACATGACACCGGGTTAATGTCTATCAGGTTTATTTGAAATCACAAGCTTTCGGAGGGCAGCCCTTCATCAGGTGAAAAGATTGCCTGCAGTGCCAGTATGCCTTTCCTTGGGTAAGGAACCTAACTGAGTTTGCTGGGCACAGTGGACAGTCAGCAGCTAAAGACAAGAGTGACCGTTCTGGATATCAGATGAGCAGTTTGACAGTATGTGGAAACTGACTTTGTTTTCGGGAGGTGCAGCACATAGATGAGAAATAGAAGAAGCCAAGGATATGTCCTTGAGCAACACCAGAGATAATGTCATACGAACGGGAAGTGAATCCATTCCACCTGATTCGCTGGCTGCAGCTGGATAGCCAAGAGTGCAGCTGGACAATGATAGAGAGGAGTTCAAAGAGGATAGAATAGTCAACCGAGTCCAAGATTGCAGACAAACCAGAAAAGAGTCATAGATCACTTTTTTTTTGGCAGTCACATAGAAGGTCCTTTGTGACTTTAAAGTTACAATTTAGTTAATGTTAGTAAGCTAAGTGTATAATTTATTTTCTTGAGTCTTATTTTTATGAATATCGGGCTTATTGTAACCAGGTACAGTTTCAGAAGTTTACAAATCCACTAAAATGATAAAGGAGTAAAAATGTGTAAAATTGGTCCATTGATTACACCAATTGGAACAAATGGGTGTGGTATTCAGTTAAAACATTCAATATCAAGTAATGAATGTTCAACTCACTGCTGGTCCCAGTCTGTACCTGCCCAGGCTTTCTTAATCAGGAATAAGGGTTTGCTGAGAGGCACGGTTGAGTATATATGTATCGCCCTTTATAACCTACAAAAAATTTGGAAAGAACTGCGGATGCTGTAAATCAGGAAACAAAGCAGAAATTGCAGGAAAAGCTGAGCAGGTCTGGCAGCATCTGTGAAGGAAGTTATGAGGAAGGGTCACCAGACCCGAAATGTTAACTCTGTTTTTTCCTTCACAGATGCTGCCAGACCGGCTCAGCTTTTCCAGCAATTTCTGTTTTGTTCCCTTTATAGCCTGTCAGGTTAGGTGACAATTCAGTAGAAAACACTAGAGCTTCACCCTTTCTTCTGGTCAGGCATTCCAGGTTGCATTCTCTGAAAGTGAAATGCTGGAAATCTGAAAATATGAACAGAAAGTGCTGGACATGCTTGGCAGGCCTGGCAGCATCTCTATATAGATAAACAGAGTTAATGTTGTGGGTCGGTCTCAGATACTGCCTGACCACCTGAGTATTTCCAAATTTATCATGTCTGAATTTCAGTGGTTGCAGATTTTGGTCCTTCGATCAACTTCAGAACCTTGTCATAGGGAGAAAGCTGATTGCAAATTCATTCTCTCAAGTTGTTTAGAAGTTCTAGAACTTCCATGCTTTACCTACATTTGAGTCTGAATGTATCTAGAATAAAACTACACCAATTACACAAGTTATCTGCTTCATTCCTCGTGCTTTGACTTTTCCTGCACATCTTGCAGCATTTGGACCCTTTGATTGTCTTTACAAGATTTTCAAAATAGTGAAGAGATTTTATATTGGATGACTGCGTTCTTATTATTTATACTTCTGTTGGCGCCATTGCCTTGAAACACAGACTGAGAAATTACGTATGCTGAGAAAATTATGTTTTGCTGTTAACGAAGATGCAAGCTCCTAAAGACGTTCAGTTCTTATTGTTTAAGGTTTCAAGAGGATTTGTTTGTCTCTTGATGTAATGTTAATCTGGCTGAAACTGATTTGTCTGTGTTGGTACAGCACCATTTAGTTCGCTAGTTAGAGCTGTAACTTTCCAGTTTATTCCTTGACTCTCATGATATTTACATCCACCTGTTTGGCTTTGTTTTTCAGAACCGTAACCCATCTGTGGCTGTGTACTACACAAATCGTGCCCTGTGTTACGTGAAGATGCAGCAGTTTGATAAGGCAGTGGCAGATTGTAAACATGCTCTGGAGTTGGACAGCCAGTCTGTTAAAGCCCACTTCTTCCTGGGACAATGCCAACTGGAAATGGAGAACTATGATGAAGCTATTGGCAACCTGCAGAGAGGTCAGGGGTCATACTTTTCACCTTCATAACCAGTGGTGTTAACTGAGTCTAATAGATCTAATCTCTATGGACGTACCGACAAGATCTACTAGCCCTTGCAAATGCAGCATTTGAGTGATTGTGGAGGCAGATTAAACCCCTGTTGAGAGCTGATCATTTGATGTAAATCTATATCCTTGACCTCGCAATAATTTTATTGGCATTTATGTTTTTAAAGAAACTTCCTAGACGTTTAGATGCAATTATATTAACAATGACCTTAGAAAGTAGTAACTGTTCAGTTTCCTCACATTTGGCTTTGCACAAGTGTAGGAGTATATAGTTATTATCCACTTATTTGCCACTCTCGGATCAGCACGCTCGTGGGATCAACCCCAGAACCCGTCTTTTTTTTCCTCTTCTCACTATCCTTGGTCAAGCGATTGTGGTACATAGGAGTGGTATCCACATAGTTTATTAACCATGGAAACTCTGTGCCTCTATCCTTTCCCGATAACCTTAATTGAAGTGAGATGGTCAGACCTCAGTTCTGTTTTTGGTTGACGTAAACCAGAAGGCCATAATAAGACATTCAGTCCATCACTTCTGTTCTGCAATTGAGTGCAATCATGGCTGATCTGACAGTCCTTCATTGCATTTCCTACCTTTTCCTCATAACCCTTGATTCCCTTCCTGATCAAAAATCTGTCTTTCTTAGTGTTGAGTATACTTAATGAACCAGCCTCAACAGCCCTCTGTGATAAAGAATTCCACAAATTCACTACTCTCTGAGAGAAGAAATTCCTCCTCGTCTCTGGGATAAATGTGTGACCCCTTATTCTGAGATTATGCCCTCCAGTCCTAGACTGTCCTATGATGGCTAAGAATCTTGTATATGTCAATAAGGTTGCCTCTCATTCTTCTAAACTCCAACAAGTGAAGGCCCAGTCTACTCATCCTGTCCTCATAAGACTGTCTCTCCATATGGGGTATCAACCTACTAAGTGTAATCAATTAGTTGCGTGAGCAGGGTTATGGATATAATGTTGTGGAGTGAAATGATTTCTCATTAAAAACAAGAAACCAAGCAGCATTAAACAACTAAACCAGTGCTTCAACTCAGAGCACTATCATATTAGAAGATGGTGAATTCCATTGAAATCTTCTTATATGATGTTGCTCTGGGTTGAAGCAGTGATTTAGTTGTACTAGTACTGTTTAGTTTCTTATTATTAGCGGGGAATCATTTCACTTCACAGCATTCTGTCCATATCCTTGTTTAGCACAGCTAGTTGACCTTTCAAGGGAATTGAATGCCAATGTTTCAGCATTTCGAAGATTAAATGTAGTACTGGACAGGGTTAGGTATAGGATAGGGCTCTTTGTGCTCTATCTCACCAATGTGCTCACTCTCAGAAGATCAACCCTAGTATGGTGCCCTGGCAATTTTTATAAGAACCACACAACTCTACCAGATAGGTCAGTTTTATGTTATGGTTAAATGCTTAATGGGAACAAAGTTGAAATCCCTTTCATGTAATTGAACAAAAAGACCTGCTAGCTATACTCGAGGAGAAAAATTATTCCCATCGGATTGATAGTTGAGGGCAGGAAAATAATAAAAGTTAATTGTGGCCACTCCTAAGGGCCACTGCCTGTGTTTTGGAAACCACCCTTCACAGGTCCTAAAGTATGTCACTGAGCAATGTGACCAAGTCAAATGTTGCATAATTCCCTGATTAGTTGGAAAACAGTTTCGCAGACCAGTCTTCCAAACCAGGCAAAGTTGCATGGTGGAATGATGTGTGGAAACCATGTTGGTTTTAAAAAATATAAAATAAATTAGGCAAGTATTAAGACAAATACTGAAGCAGGGGAATGCACAGAAACATATAACAAAACAGAAGTAAACATTTCTAATGAGGCTACTTTGGAAACTTTAACATTATTTTCAGTGTAATGGAATGTTATCTTCCATTGTGTGTAAACTGAAGCTTTAAATTTAGGGACCAGGCTAAGTAGTGCAAGTGGTTTAAGGGTTAAATTTATTGTCTCTAAGTCCTTTATCACCATCAGTTGGGTGCTCTGAACAAGCTGCCATAGTCCTATTTATGTCAAGACCCTGGTGTTGCAATCTGGTCTTGACATATGAAGCCACATCATTGTGGAGTAGGTGAAGGACTGTACCAAATACTTTTCTTTAAGTATGCATGTATGCACATGTGTGTATGAAGGTATTTCTTAATGAAATGTTTCATGGCCATATAAAAGCACAAGTAGTGAATATAAAAGAGGAGAAACTGAGCAACTATTTTGCAAGGATTCAATCTGGGAGACAACTGTTAGGTTTTAATTTAAAAAAAAGAGTTGATGCTGTTGTAAATTCTGTTCCTGAGATTTTAAAGGGACTGTATTGTGATCTTTAACAGGTTTTTATTATTGTTGAAAAGTGAAGAGAGATAATGGATTGAGTCACAGTTAATTTTGAAGACTATTTACAGTTATTGTTATGAAGAGAACAAATTCTTTCATTTAGAGAGATTGCGGAGAAATAACAGGAAGCATAACAGGTGTAATATAATGTGGCTAAATGTGAGGATATTTACTTTGGTAACAGGCACAGAGTGCAGAGTATTTCTTGAATGATGAGAGATTGAAAAGTGTAGATATCCAAAGCAACCTAAGTGGCTTTGTTCATAAATCGCTGAAAGCTAGCATGCCGATGCTACAAGCAATTTGGAGGGTAAATGGTATATTTGCTTTTATTGCAAAAGGATTTGAACACAGGAGCAAAGGACTCTTACTTTAATCATGTGGAACATGGAGAAACTGCACCTGGAGTATCATGTACAGTTGTGTCCCCTTGCCAAAGGAAGAATATACCTGCCTTAAAGTGCAAGTAGATATTGATGAGACTGATTTCTGGGATTATGAGGGGAGGCTGAGATTAGTGTGTTCTCTGGACTTCAGAGGAATGAGAGGTGGGCGACCTGTTAGAAATGTAAAAGAATCTTACAACGTTATACATTGTCGATGCAGAAAGGAGGTTTATTTGGGCTGTGGAATCTAGGACCAGGAGACATAGTCTCAAAATAAAGGGCAAGCTCTTTAGGACTGAGTTGAGGAATTTCTTCAGTTGGGGCAGTCGATCTTTGGAATTCTGTACCTCGGAGGGATGTGGAAACTCAGTCATTGAGTAAGTTTAAGCCAGAGATTGATCGATTTCTTGTTCTTTCTGTTGACATCAGGGATATGGGGATAGCACAGCAATATGGTAGGTCATCAGCCAAGATCTAGCCTGACAGAGCCAGTATGAGTGGCTGGATGGCCTGCTCTAGCTTCTGTGTTAAGTTGGTGTGTGGGGATGTGGTGCATAATGGAAAAGGTCAGAAAACATTTACCATCCTTTTGTCTGCAGCATGCATTGCAAGGACATCTTCTCAGCTGCGTGAATTTAAAATAAAATGCTTCCTTTCCACTAATGAACAATGCTGATGCCAAACGTAGCATTTTCTGACAGTTCTAACTGTGGTCTTGACAAAGCTAGCTCTCGGGTATGAAAAATGTAATGTCTGTTTAGTATGGCTGCCCCTATTAGAGCCCTGCTCATTATTGGGAAGCTAGGGTAATTTTTTGCCTTCTGTTTTTATAGCTTGTGTACAAACTCCCTTTTTCCAGCTTATAATTTAGCAAAAGAACAAAGGCTGAATTTTGGGGATGATATACCAAGTGCCCTAAGGATGGCAAAGAAGAAGCGTTGGAACAGCATTGAAGATAAAAGAATTCAGCAGGAAAATGACCTCCATGACTACCTCACCAAACTGATCCTCTCAGAAAAGGAAAGGTACGCAGCGATTAGTTTTGAGTGCATCCATTTGCAGACTCAAATAAATGGACTTCATTTCAAAATACTTTGAAAAGGTATGCTTAATTTTATGCTTGTTAAAGTTAGGGATATAGCCAAGAAGGCAAAGTTATCATGAAACATTTTTGCCACTTACTGTTAGGAATCTGCACTCTTAGGGCAAAATAGTTAGGGTGAGGTAATGGCCGAATGGTATCATCACTATGCTATTAATCCAGAAACCCAAATAATATTTTGGGGACCCAGGTTTGAATCCTGCCACAACAGGTGGTGCAATTTGAAGTTAGTAAAAATATCTCAAAGTATTGGCAAAGACCTGTAGCTCGGGTCGTGGATGAGGTTGTTGACTTGCTCACCGAGCTGGCTTGTTTTTGTTTGGACATTTTGTCACCATGCTAGATGACATCATCAGTGGAGCCTCGGATGAAGCAATGTTATTCTGCTCTGCTTGGAATTTATACTGTCTGGTCTGTTATGGTGAGTACTGTCATTTCCAGTTTTGACCTGTATGGGTTTATATATGGGGTTCAATTCTGTATGTTTGTTCATTGAAGAATGGGTGGAGAACCATGCCTTTAGGAATTCCCATGCGTGTCTGTGTTTGGCTTGGGTTGCTATGGTTACCTTGTCCCAGTTAAACTGATGGCCTTCATTGTCTGAGTGTACTGGTATTGAGGAGGGTTCACTGTCCCGTTTTGCTGCTAGCTGATGTTTGCGGATTCTGATGGCTAGTTTCCTTCCTGTCCGTCCGATGTAACACTTATAGCAGTTGTTGCATGGTATGTTGTAAACCACATTGGTTCTGCATGTCGTGGGAATGGGGTCTTCAATCCTTGTAAGTGTTTGTCATAGAGTGGCTGTGGGTTTGTGGGCCACCATGATTCCTAGTGGTCTTAGGAATCTTGTTGTCAGTTCCAATATGTTCCTGATGTATGGCAGTGTGGCCAGTGTGTCAGGGCGTACTGTGTCCTCCTGTTGTTGTTTGTTATGTAGGCATCTCTCCTTAATATCTGTACCATAGTAGCCCAAGCCAAACGTAGACATGCAAGGGAATTCTGAGAGGCATGGTTCTCCGCCCATACTTCAATAAACATATAGAATTGGACCCCGTATACAAACCCATACAGATCAAAACCGGAAATGACAGTACTCACCATAACGGACGGGACAGTATAAATTCCAAGCGCAGGAGAATAACATTGCTGCATCCGAGGCTACACTGATGACGTCACCTAGCATGGTGACAAAACGTCTGAACAAAAACAAGCCAGCTCGGCGAGCAAGTCAACAACCTCAAAAATATCTTAGATTAAGAATCAACTGATGACCATGAATCCATTGCATTGTCAGAAGTAAAAACAGAAATTGCTGGAAAAACTCTGCTGGTCTATCCATGGAGAGAAAGCAGAGTTAACATCTCCGGTCCAGTGACCCTTCTTCAGAACCTTTCTAACCCATTCTGATGAAGGACTGGACCCGAAGCATTAACTGCTTTCTCTCCCCACAGATGCTGCCAGACCTGACTTTTTACAGTTATTTCTGTTTTTGTTTCTGATCGCCAGCATCCGCAGTTTGTTCTTTTTTTTTTATTTAGTCTTTGAACAGATCTAGCAACAGAATCATACTACCAACACAATCTGCACCTCGTGGCCAGGCATAATCCCCACTCAACCATTACCACCAAGCTAGGGGATTAGCCCTGGTTCAGTGGAGAGTGCAGGAGGGCATGCCAGGAGCAGCACCAGGCATACTTATGAAAATGAGGTATCAAACTGGTGAAGCTACCAAACATGACTCCTTGTGTGCCAAATAGCATAAGAACCAAGTGAGTGATGGAGCTAAGTAATGCCACAAACAATGGATCAGATCTAAGCTCTGCAGTCGTGCCATATCCAGTCGTGAATGCTGGTGGACAATTAAACAGTTCACTGCAGGCAGAGGCTCCACAAATATTCCTATCCTCAATGATGGAAGATCCCAGCACATCAGTGTAAAAGATGAGGCTGATACATTCACAGCAATCTTCAGCCTGAAGTGCCAAGTGGATGATTGTCATCTCAACCTTTGCCAGTAGTCTCCTGCATCACAGATGCCAGCCTTTAGCCAATTCGATTTACTCCACATGGTATCAAGAAATGGTTGGAGACACTGGATACTGTAAAGGCTACGGGCCCTGACAACATTCCAGAAATAGTGCTCCAGAACGTGTTGTTCCCCTAGCCAAGCTGTTCCAGTACAGTTACAACACTGGCATCTACCCAACAATGTGGAAAATTGCCCAGTTATGTCCTGCACACAAAAAGCAGGACAAATCTAACCCGGCCAATTACCACCCCGTCAGTCTACTCTCAATCATCAGTAAATTGATGGAAGGTGTGATCAACAGTGCTATCGAGCAACACCTGCTCAGCAATAACCTGCTGAGTGACGCCCAATTTAGGTTCCGCCAGGGCCACTCAGCTCCTGACCTCTTACAGCTTTGATTCAAACATGGACAAAAGAGCTGATCTCCAGAGATGAGATCAGAATGATGGCCCTTGATATCAAGCCTGCATTTGACTGAGTGTGGCTTCGAGGAGCCCTAGCAAAACTGGAATCAGTGGGAATTAGGGGGCAAAATCTCTGCTGGTTAGAGTCCTATCTGGCACAATAGGAAGATGGTTGTGGTTGTTGGAGGTCAGTCATTTCAGCTCCAGGACTGCAGGAGTTCCTCAGGATAGTGTCCTGGGCCCAACCATCTTCAGCTGCTTCACCAATGACCTTCCCTCTCTCATAAGGTCAGAAGTGGGGATGTTTGCCGATGATTGCACAATATTCTACACCATTCACAGCTCCTCAGATACTGAAACAGTCCGTGTTCAAATGCAACAAGATCTGGGCAATATCCAGACTTGGGCTGACATATAGCAAGTAACATTCACATCACACAAATGCCAGGCAATGACCACCTTCTTTAGGAGTTGACCAAACCACTACCCCTTGACATTCAATGGTGCTACCATCACTGAATCCCCCACTATCGACATCCTCGGGGGTTGTCATTGACGTTGCCCACATATAAACATTGCAGTTACAAGAACAGGTCAGAGGCCAGGAATGCTGTGGCAAGCAACTCCTCTCCTGACTCCCCAAAGCCTGTCCTCCAACTACAAGGCAGAAGTCAGGAGTGTGATGGAATATTCCCCACTTGCATGGATGGGTGCCGCTCCAGCAACACTGAAGAAGCTTGACACCATCCAGGACAAAGCAGCCTGTTTGATTGGCATTACATCCATAAGCATCCACTCCCTCCAGCACCGATGTTTAGCAGCTGCAGTTTGTACTATCTACAAGGTGCCCTGCAGAAATTCACCAAAGATCCTCAGGCAGCACCTTCCAAACGCTACGTTTCCGCTTCTGTCTGGAAGGACAAGGGCAGCAGATGCATAGGAACGCCACCATCTTGCAGCCCCCCACCAAGCCACACACCATCCTGACTTGGAAATATCTCACTGTTCCTTTACTGTCACTAGGTCAAAATCCTACAATTCCTTTGTAACATTGCTTCCACCATGGAAAAGGTTCCTTTACTCTGATGCGTAATATTAACTCTGAAATTAATACATTGTGACAATTCCATCTTATCCCAGTATTTTTGATTACTTTCAGTTGCTCTTGCCATTGATTCACACGGGTTCAAATCCTGCCATGGTAGATGGTGGAATTTGATTTCAATAAAAAAAATCTGGAATTAAGAATCTAACGATGACCGTGAATCCATTTTTGATTGTCAGAAAAACCCATCTCGTTCACTAATGCCCTTTAGGGAAGGAAACTGCCATCCTTACCTGGTCTGGACTACATGTGACTCCAGACCCACAGCAATGTGGTTGACTCTTAACTGCCTCTAGGCAATTAGGGATGGGCAGTAAATGCTGCCCAGCCAGCGACGCCTACATCCCGTTAATGAATACATGGATTCTTGTCCAGAAAATGAGGTTAAAGGTATATGAGTGAGCTGCATTAAGTATGGAATAAGTATTTAAGAAAATAATACATTCCACAGGTTGTTACTGGTGGTATTGCATTAGAAATTCTGCAGCTATGGCGTGCCACTAACATTACCTACAGCCAGTGGAAGTACCAGTCTCCGGAATCACAAATTGCATATAGTTAGTTCATTTTGTAATTTGATTTGCACATTTGGAGTATAGGTCTTATTTACCATGCCTGTGTGAATTCAGGTACACACTAGGTGTATGTTCCATTTGGATTTCTAATGTTTCAGTTCGGTTGTCCTCCCCCTCCTGTTCTGACATTAATTTCACACGTTGCTTACAGTCTTATTTTTAAGCACCATGAATTGTTGTAAGGAATGACGTTACACTTGTACAGTATGTTTTGGAGCTCCATACCAACAGCAACATGCATCTATAAAGCACTTTTTGATGCAGGTAAAACAGCCCCCAAATCACTTTGTCTATTATCAGACAAAAATGGGAGATATGAGGTATGGTAACCAAAAATGCCTTCTAAGAAGTAATGAAGATGTTGAAGGTTTGGAAAATGAGTTAGAAAGCATTGGACCTAGATAATTAAAGGCAAGCTACTGATGGTGTTAAAATTTCAGGCAGAATACACAAGGCAATATATTTTGAGGGATGGGGATGTAGTTACGGTGCTTAAAGGAGTTAGTTGAGAAGGGTGAAGTCATAGAGTAGTTAAACTTAGAAGATTACCTTCCAATGCTAAAACCTGTACCTTACTTGATTAGTAAGGGGATCAAAGGTTACAGGGAGAAGAGAAGAGAATGGCATTGAGAAACATATCAACCATGATCAAATGGCAGAACAGACTTGATGGGCCGAATGGTCTAATTCTGTTCCTATATCTCATGGTCCTATACTGTGCCAGGTAAAGAGCAAGGATTTCACAGTTAATGATGGACAAAGTGACACCTTCTCTGATCTCTTTAAAGGAATAGTTTTCTGTTTTTGAAAATGGGGTCTTAAATCTTCACAGGTTCAGTCTTACCCTGGACACAAGGGTGCGTGCTGTTTAAGGCCTGGTGATCCTGGCATCTGTGGCATGTGGCAGCCTAGATTGTGTGAATACCTTGTAGAGCTTTATTGTCAGTTGTGGGCGGAAGCTTTGCTGCCATTACAAACTCTTACAGAATCCCCAGTGTAAATTCAGGGCCAGGAGTCAGCTTTATCTTTCTAATGCGCTCTTGGTGGCAGGAAGGACCCTGAATCTTTGGCTTCTCTGGTTTAGAACCCATCAAAATTAAAACAGTTTTGCTGCTCTGGTGACAGGAAATACTCTTGCAGCTGGTTACAGTGACGGATTCTAGTCCATAGAGATTTGTTGGGACACTCTTTATTACTTCTTTCCTTTCAATTCATAGGGAAGTGGAACAATGTAAACGGAAACACTATGAAGAGAACCTGGATGATTCCCGAACCCGAATGGAAATTGCAAAGATAGAAGCCAGACATGTAAGGCCTATTTTCTTTGTTGTGAATGTTTATGATTTGAGCTCCAAAACCATAATGTAGATCTACAATCTTTGGTCTTCGTGAATCCAGTGAAAGAATATTTTAGTTCATAGTTAAAATAATTTTGAGTCGTTTCTAACTGAGAATTAGATCACTTCAATGCAGGTTATTTCTTTTCAGAATTCACTTTACATTGGAAAATAGTGAATGTGACTTCACTGTTTAAGAAGGGGAGGAGACAGAAAACCACAGGCTAGTTAGCTTAACATCTGTCATTGGAAATCAATTATGAAAAAGGTTTTAGTGGGGCATCTCTCTCACTGTGCTCTCTGGTTCAAGGTCATCTTTCCTGCCTGCATCTCTCTCACTGTACTTTCTGGTTCATGTTCACCCTGTGCGCCTGCATCTCTTGTACTGTGTTCTCTGGTTCATGTTCACCAATTCTAACTGACTACATTTCTTTTGCTGTGTGGTTCATGTTCTTATTGCCGACCTGCACCTCTCTCTCAGTGCTGTCCAGTTCATGTTCACACTGCCTGCCTGCATCTCTATCACATATCTCTCCAGTTAATTGCCACGCTACCTGCCTGCAATCAGGCAGAGACATCCTGATTTAGTGAAAGGGAAATCATGTTTGACTAATCTATTGGAGTTGTTTAAGGAAGTAACCAACAACTTGGCTGAAGGGGATGTGCTGAACTTTGATTTCCAGAAGGTGTTTGATAATGTGCCTCACCAAAGATTACTATGCCAAATAAAAGCTCGAGATGTAGGGGGCAACATAATAGTATGAGTAAAGGATTAGTCAATAACAGGAGTGCTGCAGAGATCAGTGGTGGGGCCTCAATTATTTGCAATTTGTTCAATTACTTGCATAAAGGGACTGAATGTATGGTTGCTAAGTTGGCTGATGATCCCAAGGAATATCGGAAGATAATTTGTAAAGAGAATATGGGGAGACTGCAGAGGACTATGAATAAGCTAAGTGAGTAGCCAAAAAATTACCAAAAGGAGTATAATGTAGATGATTGTGAACTTGTTGACTTTGGCAAGAAGAGAAAAACAGCATTAATGAAGAGAGGTTGCAGAACTGAGTTACAGTAGGATCTGGGTGTCCTGGTAAATGAGTATGAGTGTCCAGCAAGTGATCAGTAAAATGCAATGTTATTTGTGGCTTGGGAAATGGAATATGAAAATAAGAATTTTTGCTACAGTCCTACAGAACGTTGGTGAGACCACATCTGGAGAACAGTATACAGTTTTAATCTCCTTTATTTAAGAAAGGATATAAATGCACTAGAAACAATTCAGAGAAAGTTCACTCAACTGACACTTGGAATAGGTTATCCTATTAGGAAGGATCGGCTAGGCTGGGTTTGTATCCATTGGAGCTTAGGACAATAAGAAAGTGATCTTATTGAAACATAAGATCTTGATGGCTGATGAAAGGATCTTTCCTCGGTTGGGGTAGACTAGAACTAGGGCATACAGTTTAATAATATGAGGCCTCCCATTTAAGATGGAAGTGAGGAGAATTTTTTTTTTTGGAGGGTCGTGAGTCTTTGGAGCTCTTTTTCCCATTGAATCACCCTTTACAAATTAATAATATTTAATCATTATATGTTGCTGTGACATTTGTTCTGACACTGTACTATTTGATATATTTTGGATCAAGATGGGGGCTGAGTAGGACTCCTGTGCCAGAGCTCATCCGCTCCGACAGCTTTTCGTTTTCTTTCTCTTCCTCGACTCTTTTCTTTTTTTTCCACTACTTAACTTGTCTTGAGCTGGGATGACATTGACAGCGGCGAGAACGGGCCCAGGGTGCGGACCTCTGATGATCTAGAGCTGGGCCTGGAGAGGGCGTACCGTGGACCTTGAGTAGGCCCAGGGCGTGGACCTCAATTGGGCCCAGCGCGGACGAGAGTGAGCCCCTACTTACTTTTCCGGAGCTAGCACGCAACTTGGAATCGGCGGCTGTTTTGTTGGCAAAGGCAGCGTCGGTGAGGTAGGCCCAGCGACAAAAGAAGGCGTGTGAAGATCAGCAGCGTCATTGTTGGTTGGGGTCTGATGCTGGCGGCGGCGAAGTGGTGGCTGAAGGATATGACGACAATGTCGATGAGGTGGGCTCAGCGGTGAGAAATGTGACTGTAATGTTGGTCAGCCCGGCGCAGGAGGCATCAAGGCAGTGACGGAGGAGTATTGGCCCAGCAGCAAAGACACAGCTGAGGATCAGCGACCTTGATGTTGCTTGGGTCTGGTATAGATGTCAGTGCAGATGTCTATGACCATGATGAGCTGGCTCTGGACTGATGGACTCTGTTTGAACTGGATTTTTTCCCCCTCTGTTTACCTTACTGTTAAATTATTCAAAATGGCGCCATTTTGAGGTGACAAATAAAAGCTGCTCACTGTATTCTATTGTATTTTTACTGTAATATACATGTGACAAATTCAAAATCACATTTGTTTTCCAGCTAAAGTGTGAAATAAAATCTCATTGCGGTGAAGGCTGGGTCATAGAATATTTTTCAGCCAGAGATAGAGAGATTCTTGATTGATAAGGGAGTCAGAGGTTACAGGTGTTAGGTAGAAATGTGGATTTGAGGCCATAATCAGATCAGCCATCGTTTCAATGAAAGATGGAGCAGGCTAATGGGGCTGCATGTTTTGCTCCTAATTTGTTTGTTCCTATGTTTCATAGCTGAAGAAATTATTTTCTAATTTATTTTAATAAATAAGAAATTTCAATTTAGTTATTCAACCATGTTTTTCTTGTGTTATTGGTTGGTTCTGTGTCTGCATATTATCTGCCATGAACAGTCTGTCCCAGACCCAAGTCTGAACCGTAAGCACAGCAAATTGCTCCTCAGAAAATATGTATTATTATTCAGGTATCGTAAACTAGCATATTTAGTTAATTTAATGCAGGCTAAATCAGCGTTTAATTTTACTTACTAATAAAAGTAGTAGGATCAAAACATGAGTGGGATACTTTGATAAGACTGGAATCTGTCTCAAAAGTGTTATTATTTTCAGCATCTTAGTTGAGAATGAAGTAGCTTTTTCTTGATGAATGAGAGACATTTTCAGATGTTCTTTGGTAATTTGAATACCGTCTTAAGCTGTATTTTCTGAGATTCCTCCCTTTATTCATTAACGGAATGCGGGCACTACTGGCTAGGCAGCATTTATTGCCCATCCCTAATTGCCCAGAGTCAGCCACATTGCTGAGGTGTCACAGGGAGGCCTGACCAGGTAAGGATGGCAGTTTCCTTCCCTAAAGGGCATTAGTGAACCAGATGGGTTTTCCCAATAAGCGGCAATGCATTCATGGTCATCATTAGATTCTTAATTCCAGATATTTTATTAAATTCAAATTCCACCATCTGCCATGGCAGGATTCGAACCTGGATCCCTAGAATGTTATCTGGGTCTCTGGATTAACAGTCTAGCGATAATACCACTAGGCCATTGCCTACCCATTTAGATGTTACACTTGGGCTTCTAGTGTTGCTAGCACTTCTGCTCGAACTGAGACATTTGTCCATTATCCTTTTAGTATAAAGATGTTTATTCAGAGAAGTTAAGCTAACTACATGAAATCTTGGCAGGCAGTGGAATAATGGTGAGTAACGGACGTTTTCTTAATTTTATCAAAATAAGTAGCAATAAGAAAATATCCATTACAAAAAAAGTGCTGGAAAAATTCAGCAGATCAGGCAGTATTCATGGAAAGAGAAAGAGTTAACGTTTCTAGTTCAATGACATCTTCAGATCCTGAGGCTAATATCATTATCATGAATACTGCATTCATCAGTACTTTAGTTATGATACTTTGCTAACTAATTTGTGTTTTTTGCATGTACCTGGCTAATGACAAAGCAGTTTTCATTTTAAATTCTTTTTATTTAAACTAATAGAAAAGCAAAGATAAAATTATTATTTTTGTACTGTGTGTACAACTATCAATGGGGTTGAAGAAAGGACAATTGGCATTTATCTAATGCCTTTCAAGAGCTCAGGATTTCCCAAAGCCTTTTACAGTGATGTGAACACTGTTTTAATGTTGACATGGCATGGCCAAAACACTTGAATCTTTATTGTATTGTTGGTAATTAAAATAACTCAGCCTTTAAAGGACTGATCTTTATTTATAGCTGTTATTTTATAGCAATACTGCATTTAGTGTTGGAAGATGTGATCTTTTTGGACTTCAGCTATTTTTATTCTTGTTCTTTTTTGGCTTTTGTGCTTCAGGTTATGCTCCTGGGTAGTCCTTGACTCTCTGCTTCTCAGTGAATGTTTTGACTTGCTCTGATATGTTGTAATATGGCTGGGATAACAAACAAAACAAAACCATTTTATGACTATTTGAGGCACTTGATCCAATGCCACCGTGGAAACCTCCCTGCTCTTGAAAGGCAGCAGACCCTCACTGCAGTGAGATCTTGTTTACCATCTAAAGTCTGAAATAAGTATAATAAATGGTAAAGTGATAGAACAAATGTCAGCACATTGTTCGATGATTAAACACTGCCATTTTTTTAAAGACATTACAGTTTGCATCTCTTTTGATAAAGCTATGTTAGAATTGTTCTTTTAGGTAGTGTTTCTTTTAAATCATTTTCCCTTGTTGACTACAGCAATTATCTGATTTCCTCTCAGGTTCTCTCCTCAAAGACCTAGGTCATTGTCAATGACTTGATTAAAAAAAATGCTTGGAAATGCCCTGAACCAGTAACTGGAGTTTCATATATGTTTCAAGATAGTGCCAGAGTGTGGTGACATTTTGCATTTAACATGCGAAAAACACTTTTCGCTGTATTTTTATATACGTGTGATAAATTTAAATCTGAACTAACCTTTAAATGTCGTCTACCTGCCCTGAATTCCTTCAGTTCCCATTCTTTGCAATCACATTATCTAAATGATTGAGTAATTGGCATTTTTTTAGTACAAAATGCCCACTTTCAGTTATTTGTTGTTAACTGTTGGCATGCATTCAAGCACATAGGCGTATTATGCCAATTATAACATTTGTCTCCTCCCTTAAGCAAACCGTTTGGTAACCAACTGAATGATTGTTATAAAATGTTGAGCCCAGATATGATTTCTGATGAAGCTGAATTTTGTTTTTGTTATTTGTGACAACCTAAAACTAAAGTCAAGTATTGGTTTGTAGTGTTTCAATTTTATCCATCTCCTGATTGGCTTCAATTCAAATGATCTGACCTTCACCTAATATCTCTTTTAGAAAAGACTCATCATTTGAATAAACAATGTCAATGGATAAAAGAAAGAATGTCCATTGTCTCCTTGCATGTTTGTTTCCTCTTGTGGTTGGATTTTGTCCCTTGTTTGCATGGTCACTCTTCAGAGGGAAGGAAATAAAACAAACTTTAAGGTTTTCTACACAAGAAGAATGCACAATAATCTCTTTTGTTCCCTTTATTTGTTAAATGCTTCTGAATTGATAAATCATGGAAAAGCATGGTATTTTGTTTTGCTTTTACACAGCAAACTGATCCTGCAATTGTGCTTTATATTGGTAATGTTCGCAATTGTGATCTAAGTTCATGCTTAATCACTCATTTCACCTGTATTTCACAGGACAAGTACATGAATGAAATGGATGATTTATTCTCCCAGGTGGATGAAAAGAGAAAGGTGGGTTGCTGAATGGGGAATTAGAGCTTTATGCATCCTGCTGTTATGTATATGCTAGTTTTTATTGGCATCAAAATAGTTATTATTCATACAGCCAAATGTGCTCATGCCGTACAGAATAGTGTCTCAGCGTCAAAGGAAAATCCAGTGAAGGCAATACAATAACAGCATTCTAGTCACCAGTGACCAGGTAGGTGAAAAGAGAATTGATTTATGCTGTTGCTTATCCTGGAGGATGATATGGCAGCAGAAGGAATTGTTGATGGTGAATGTTGGCTGCTCCATGTCTGGCTGGGACATCCTGGATGGTCCTTGTACTTTCTGACATATCTGTTTATATTCAAATCATGCTGTTAGGGTTTTCTTTATTTCCCCTTTTAAACCATCAAAAATAGAGAAAGCAAACAAAAGGCAGGTGGCCGATGTAGTGAAGGGGCAGTGAACCAGGTAGAATGCATATGATGATGAATCTGCTGATGGATTCGCCATGAGTGAAAGAACATAAAATGGTAATTAACCATATAGGTGATATCGTAACACTAGAACAAATTTGTTTTTTTAACCTGGGCTTTATGGAAAGATGTGGATCGTGGACTATGTAGACTTGTCTGAATTAATTCACAAAATGAAGGGATGAATTGACAGCACTGTTACTGCACAGGTGTAGGGGAGTAATCTATTGGAATGGGAAGAAGATTGGCTAGCCACCAAGAAAGTTGTGGTTCATTTTCTGATTTGCAAGATTGAATGAGTAGTGTGCCACAAGGATCACTGCTGGGGCTGCAATTGTTTACTATTTATACACATGACTTGGATGAAGAGATCGAAGGCATGGTTTGCTAAATGTGCTGATGACACAAAGATAATAAAGTAAGTTGCAGAGAGGCTATAAAGAAGTGAGTGGACAAATATCTGGCCAATGGAATATAATGTGGGAAAATGTGGAATTGTTCATTTTGGCACGAAAAATCAAAAAGAAGCATTTTACCAAAATTGAGATTGACAAGCTGTGATGTGCAGAAGGATCTGGGAGTCCGAGTGCTTGAATCACAAAAAGTTAGTCTAGGTACAGTAAATAATTAGGAGAGCTAATAGAATGTTATTATTTATTTGGAAGCAGAATTCTCAATCACACTTGAAACTGGCATGGAATATAAGGCCTGGTATCTTGGGAAGGGAGTCTTGTTGCTCAAAAGAATGTTGGGCAGCAACTACTGAAAAACCCTATTTTCTGAATTTGGGCTGAGTAAAATAACGAGGATTTGTAACCACAGAGTTTTATTTGCAGATAATAATTCACATGGCAATACTCTTAATTGGTATGTCTAGTGTCATATTTGAGATGCATTATTATTTGTTTCAGACTGGATGAATCTTGTCTTCAGGTAACACACATGAAATATATCTTCAATGTTCTGTGCTGTTCAATATTGCAGTAGGGATTTGAAAATTCAACTTCATAAAGTACATAAATTCTCAACTTCACAATTTCATAAACTTCCTGCTGCCTTGGGAAAGCAGCCAACATAATCGAAGACCTCTCCCACCCCAGTTATACTCTCTTCCACCCTCTCCAATCGGGCAAAAGATACAAAAGTTTGAAAACACATATCAACAGATTCAAGAACAGCTTCTTCCCTGCTGTTATCAGACTTCTGTACAGACCTTTCATATGTCAGAGTTGATCTTTCTTTGTACCTTCTCTGTAGTTGTAAGATTATATTCTGCATTCTGTTCTATTACCCTGAGGTACTTACATAAGGTATGATTTGACTGATTAGCAAAACAATATTTTTCACTGTATCTTGGTTCCTGTGACAATAATAAATCAAATGAAATTCAGTACAATTTCTACTAATGTGAATTATAGTGATTATGATAGGTTAAAAGCATCTGATCTTCAATGTGCTTCCACCAGTGAGATTTGAACCCTTGATAAATTTGGCATACTTTGGCCAGAGTTGAGATGTCTGCCACTATCCGAGAGTGGTGGTCGGCACTGGGACAATGAATGAATTTAAGGAGGAGATAGATTTTTAATTCGAAATGGGATAAAGGGTTATGGAGAGTGAGCAGGAATGTGGAGTTGAGGCAGCAATCAGATCATCCATAATCATATTAAATGGCTGAGTAGAATTGAAGGGCCAAATTACCTACACCTAGTTCTATTTTCTGTCCCGAGTTGGTCTTTTTCAGTCTTACTATTTTTGAACTATTTGTCAATTTCTAAACTTTCCCTGTAAATTTCTGTCAGACTATTTATTTGCAGAATTCAAGATGTTTTTCTCAGGGCTATTCTGAATGATTCCATACACCAGATGCCACCATAATATTTCATAACTGATTTGATGGAAATGATGGACTCGAACCTCATAATATTTTACAATTTCTGGATGACTACAGTTGACCTGTAGACCTGTGGTTACAACTGCTCTGTAGAGCATGAGCTTGGTATTGGGTTTGAGAGCTCAGACTTCGAACACTCTGTTCCCTCAGGTATCCGAAGGCTGCACTGGCACATTGGAGTCAATGTTCAACTTCTTTAATATCTGCTCGCATTGAAAGGAGGCGCCCCAGGAATGGGAAATGATCGACATTGTCCAGGGGCCATGTCATGGATGTTCATGGTTGAAGGTTGGACAGGAGGGTGCTGGTAGAGAACTGTTGTTTTCCAGATATTTAGCCTGAGGCACATTCTCTCCAAATGCCTTGGTGAATGTATAGATGATGATTTGTAGCTCAGCCTGTGAGTGTGTGCACGTGCATGCCTTGTCTTTATAGCTTAGCTTTTGAAGAACGAAGTTGGGGGACGGTCTTGGTTCTGGCTTGGAGGAGTTGAAGATTGAAGAGTTTTTACTTATCCTGTAGGTTAGCTCCACCCCACGGAGCTTCATGGAGGTGGGATGGAGTGTTAAAATGAGCAAAATGGAGAACAGCATTGGCGCAATGAAATAGCCTTGCTTGACTTTGCACTTGTTTGGGGTCCATAGTGAATCTGCTGGTGAGGATCATGTCATTGTGAAGCAGGTAGAGAATGGTGAAGAATTTTCATGGTCACCTGAAATTGAGGAGGATATTCCACAATTGAAAGAGTTGAAAGCCTATGTGAGATTGAAGAAGGCTGTGTACCGAGGTTGGTGCTGTTCCTTGGATTTGTCGTGCACGGAAAATCATGTCCATTGTACCTGTTGATGGGCAGATGACCCATTGAGACATGGAGGAGCTTTTCAGCCTCTGAGAATTCTCTCAATGACTTATCTATGGCAGACAGTAGAAAAATCTCTAATTTCCACAGTTGGACTTATATACTTTCTTGAAGCTGGTCATAATTGTGGTGTTTCAGATCTCCCGGCTTGTTCTCTTCCAGACAAGGGTGATGAGGTTACAGATTCACTTCAAGTGTGTCCTTCAGGGTGTTTGACACAGAAAACTAATCGATATACAAATAAGTAGCAGAAGTTCCTCTTATTGCTGGCCTGTATCTAATCTGCTGTTCTTTGTTCTGTATAGAAACGGGATATTCCTGACTACCTATGTGGAAAAATCAGTTTCGAGTTGATGAGGGAGCCATGCATCACGCCAAGTGGGATCACATATGACAGGAAAGACATAGAGGAACACCTTCAGGTCAGGAAAGGGGGGAAAAAAGAATGAATTGTGGAGTTTATGTACATTAGACCAAACATATTTAACCTATGCATTTCTTTTTTCAGCGGGTGGGGCACTTTGATCCTGTAACGCGAAGCCCTTTGACCCAAGAGCAGTTGATTCCAAATCTGGCTATGAAGGAGGTAATTGATGCATTTATATCAGAAAATGGCTGGGTGGAAGAATACTGAACTGGATTTAACAGCATCAGGACTTGCACATTTGCACTGCAACGGCAACTCGATGACTTGTACTAACCAGATGAGTGAGAGTGAGCAAGCCACGGAGTCTGAGCGAGAGAGAGAAAGGGGATGTGCAGGGGACACCTGTGGCTGTATGCCTGACAGGTCACTTACCATTTTGCTTGTGTTTAAATTTCTTTACATGCATGTATGTAAATCTCATTTGGCACAGAAAATCTGAACCTTGAACAATTATTAAAGTGTTTCTGGCTCTTTAATAATGCTTGGTGCAGTTGGGATAGTCTCTTTCACTTGATTTTGGTTTTGTTATCTTTTTTAATCATGAGATTAATTAAGTGAATTCTGTTCTGTAGTACTTTGAGATGAGCTTCGATTGTGAAATGTTGTATCTGATTTCTGTAAGTCCCTGACATTAAGTGCACTTGAACAGCTTGTATGCCTGAACATTTGGCAGATTTAAGTTTGTTATATGCACCATTCAAACTTCATTCCTTGCCCCTTGCCCCTTCCCCACGTTAGATCTGTTTGCTGCCATAGTGCTTTGCCTTTCAGCTGGAATCCGTGGCACAGTTTTCTGTGGGTGCTGTCTGTATGGTCATCACCTAGTGTATCTCAAGAAGACAGTGTAGGATTGTACAGTGAAATTTATGACTGCTTTCGGTGCTTGTCCTGGGTTTGCTTCTGATAGGTGGTATCCACGTACAGCGAGCAAGCAAATTCTTTCCTGGAGTTACTCTTGGTTACTGCAGCCAAATCCAGATACAGGCACTAGTTGAGTGGTTTGTTCTTTACTGAAATTGCTATGGATCAGTAACTAATCAGTGTGTGCCTGCAAGATATGTCAGTGATAGCTAACGAGTCCCAAGGACAGGATCCAGTGATATCAATTGAAGGTAGTGCCTGTGATTATGTTTTGAGAAGTTTTATTACAAATATGCCATGGAGCATTTTAGATCAGTCGTTAAAGCAACATGCTCATCTGTACCCACAGTAAAGTGGTGACTAGAAGCAGTTCAGGGTAGCTGGTCCATTAAGAAGGGTAGTTCAATCACTCACAACAAATGTGGATAAAACATTTATGCTCAGTCGCTGAATACTAAAGCAGAAACACTTGAATTTGAGGAAATAGAATCTATTCAACAGACCTTTGGACTTCTCCTTCCTCCCTCTCTCTCATCACTGCACCCCCCACACAAGCATACAAACATATTTTTAGATAGGAAGATAACTGTTAGTGAATACTGAAAATTTTAATTGTTTTCCCGTGTATTTTTGTCCTATCTTAAAAGGGTTACTTAAAAACATTAGCCCAGGAGATCCCAGTCTATAATGTCTTTCTAGCAGTATTTCACGTGGCAATCTGAGGTTTCTGATCAATTTTATTCTTAATACTTTTCAGAAATTCAGAATCTATCTGGCACATCTGAATGCAATATTAAAATATACACATTTCTAGGTTGTTACGTCCCTCTTAAAGAGAGTATTCATTACCTTAATAAAATTATAAATGATTGGAATTTTGGTTATTGTGTAAATTATTCACACTCTAACTGCCAATATCTCCTCCCATTCCTTCTACACATTTCCTTACCTGTGATCTTTTAAATGGAGATGATGGTGAGATGTCACAGCACAATATGGGTTTCTGTACTGATGATATCTAACTGCACTGAAGGAGTATTGGGATGGAGAATGTTGTTTGACATTGCATCACCCTGGGTGTGTAATAGCTTTGGTTTTCTGCTGCTGCCACTGGGATTTTGGACACTGATTAGTTCATAACCATTGTCTGTCTGATATCCCAATCAGGAACTCAAGGCCAAGAAATAAGTTTTGCTTTGTGTACCTGCTAAAGGTGAAATGGGCTATTCTATCTTCATACAGTTGCTCCGTCAGCTTCATGGTTTTTTTTTGGTTTTACTAGATCATTAAATATAACAAGTATACACTTTGTTTTCACTCATGTAATGTGGGCAAAAATGTCTAGAGACTTGCAACTGCAGTGATTCGGTTAAGTTTTATTTTGAAGATTAAATATTTATGTATGATTTCGAGGCACCTGAAGTCAGGTGTTTTGCGTATGTTTTATTAAATAGACAAAGAATTAAACAGTTGTTAAAATATCATATCTTACAATGCAGTATCTGGTTTGTATTGGTGTGTAGATGATTTGGATCTGAAGCATGACTGAAATTACTGTTTCATATCTTAAACTATAGAGAGAATACTCCACTGCACCAAAGTCAGTTCAAAATTGTCACTTCTGTGCATTCCCCCTGCAGCCAGAGAATGTGACTGGCCTGATTGTTCTTTTCTTCATGCACCATTGCTCTGTACCACGGAAGAGATAGTTTTGCTAAGCAAAACAGGCTTTCATTAAAAAAAAATCAATTAGTCTTGTCCATCTCCCTTCACCTTTGTTCATCAACATACAATCCTAAAAGGAGAATGGCCTAAATTGAGTTTTCTGCATGCTGCCTTGATGATCGTGTGGAGTTCATAACCCTAAGATAATTTGGCCATGGCTAGGAAACATTGCTGTTTTAGGAATATAGATTGTGCGTCCCAGCCAAAGTATGGAACAAACTGAATGTATTGTTTCGCTGTTGCAGCTACTCATGTGTTTCATGAATTGCACCCTAGGCGTGTAAACCTTCTGACTGAGACATATTTTAAGACACTTTTTGTGTGGATTTAAGGCCTCTATCTAATTAGCTGTCAGAGAGAGAAAATCATCCTCTCAATCTGGATTGGATTTAATACTATGTCTAAGACTTGAATAGTCAATGTTTGTTTAGCAGTGTGTTGACTAGTGATAATAGTTAAAGGAGTTTTATATTCTACAATAATTCCAGAAATTGATTGCTAATGTTACTTGATAGTGTCTGACTAGGAGTAAAACTATGTGACCTAATAAAGTAACACAAGTTGTTTCTTACATGTCATGGGAGCAATTGATTATTTTTCCTTTGTTCTTGTGTGTGAATGTATTTGGACGTACTTCCTTTGGGAAAAATATACTTGTTCATGGATTTGCTTTAATCACTTTTGTCCCTCCCATTGTCCCAGATGATAAAACTAACCCATTTTCAAAGGTATGCAGAAGTGATCTGTAGGGTTGATTTTCTGCAATTCTCTTCCTGTTTCACGCAGACAATATCAGTCATAAATTCTGGCATGATCTATGTGCTGTATTGGATTTTTGAGTATCTATAATTGTGCAATTGGGACCTAGTTTTGGGTGGTGGGTGAGGGGAATATTGTGAAAGATAACAGAACAGACAACCAAGGGATCATTTCCCCTATGACCTTGTTTGTATGAAAGAATCCTTCCTCTTGAGTTGATCAAACTTGAAAGTCAAGCTGCAGAACTTTTGGTACCTGAATGAAGCAATAGTGTGCAATCAAATAATTTTACTTTTCCATAATAAAAAAAAACTTGAAATATTATTCGTGCAAGAGTGACGGATAAGACAGCCTGAGCTTGCTAGATGTTCTGTAAGATTTCCAGATTTTGGTTATATTGATTTTTCTGAGATTACCTCACTTTTCAGTAATCTAATCATTCAGTAATTCTGATTACTGTATATTTGTCCAATAAGTCAATGTACTGTCTTAATGTACTGAATCGGGATGTTTTGCTTGATAGGTTCTGTAATTGTGATTATAGCAGATGCAGAATAAAGGCTCTATAACTTTGTGGGTGAAGTATGCTAGTGAATAACTATAGGCATCAGCATTGTTAGGAGTCCAGACCTAAAGTTCAGTGGTGAAGAATGAACATTAGAGGAGGGGACACACCTTTTTCTTACATAGTATAAACTGTAATCATTTGAAACTTGATATATTCTCTCGTCTGTCCTTGTACGCGGAAGATGAAAAGCTTTGGCAAAATTTGGGTTTTAACATTACTGAAGAGACAATCAGCCACAGTAGATCTGGCATTCTTAACTACATTGCATGCTGAAATGAAGAGGCTTTTTTCCAGGTTTACATTCAAATCTTTATTTTTCACACAGATCATCCAGTACGTCTTTACTACAAAATTTAACATTTCGTACAGTCTTCCTCCAGAGAGGGAGACACCATGCTATGGTCCATCAGAATTATACCTAGCACACAATTGTGCCGATCCTTGTTTCTTTTCATTTGTATATGGGTTGCAGCCTTGTGGCTCTGAACTACGCTCAAAAACAGGTAAAAAAATCAATGTTAGGAAGTGCCGTAGGAGTTTTTCCTAATATGCAATTATTGAAGAGTATCTGATTCCATTCAGTACAGATTCTATTTCCTGCCATCTGGTGTGCTAGGCAAACAGTAGTATTGAATTCCACAATACTGTAAAAGTAAGTTGGGGAAGCAAACATTTTGAATAGTTTCCCATTTCATATTTTGACAGTTCTATAGTTATGCAACTTGCCCTCCACACACAAAAGTGAAAACTAATTTCTGTTATATTTCTACATGATCAGAAGGCTGTAAAAGAACTACGTGTCAATAGTTCATCAACTTCATTCACTGGGTTACTTGTGACTGAGTTCGTACTAAATAAATTATTGTAAAGACAATGGGGTTCTGATCGTACCATATCAAAGATTCCTCTTTTTTTCTACTGTGAAATGACTATGCACCTTAGATATTCATCATACACTTTATTAATAAAAATCCATTAAAATAGTGAATGCATTGAAAGTAGAAGCATCATTTTTTTAGATTAAGGCTGCCAGCCTTAAAGTTGTAAAGATATAGGGAGATATTGTAAATATCTAGCCTACCATGGAACTGTTTATTGATCTTTTAATTTCTACACATTTATTCATGCAAAGTAGGGAGCCATCGTTAATTCTGTCTCCATGAGATTTTTGGCATTTGGAGTATTTTGTTCTTTCCTGAAACAAAAACAAGCCTGCTCTCAGCCAAGTGATGATGGAGTTGATGTAGTGTTAGTAACTGGCACTTGCAAAGAAATAACCACCTCTGTAAATCAGGAACAAAAACAGAAGTTGCTGGAAAAGCTCAGCAGGTCTGGCAGCATCCGTGAAGAAAAAAATCAGTTAATGTTTTGGTTCCGTTGACCCTTCCTCAGAACTGGGGTTCAGAACAGTTCTGAGGAAGGGTCGCCGGACCCGAAACGTTAACTCTGATTTTTCCTTCACAGATGCTGTCAAACCTGCTAAGCTTTTCCTGCAAATTCTGTTTTTGTTCAGTTCAGGTTCTGTCCACATTACAGCCTTAGTCCAGATGTCACCAAAAGAGCTGAACTATTGAGGTGAGAGCAACTACAATGGCTCATCACCATCTTCTGGGCAGTTATGGATGGGTACTAAGTTCTTGCCTTGGCACATTGTTTAGTTATTTTCTTTTGTTCACAGAGTACAACATGCAGTCACTTTCCCACTCCACAGTGGGAGTCATGTCAAAGCACAGTGGTCCAGCACTACTACTGACCCAAATGTAGTCGCCGCTCTATGCTATGGTCCCTTCAATTCATCAAGGATTTGGTCAATTATTTATTGATGCAGATATTATGTAAATACTGTAACATGAAAATTTGACAAACACTCAAGTCACCTTTCTGCCAAATTAAATATTTCCACGTATGATAGATTTTATGCAAGGTGTTCTGGTGCTGAATGCATATTCCTGAATATGAGGGGTAACAAGGTGTAGAGCTGGATGAACACAGCAGGCCAAGCAGCATCAGAGGGAGCAGGAAGGCTGACGTTTCGGGCCTAGACCCTTCTTCAGAAAAAGGGTCTAGGCC